CATATTTTAGATTTATTACAATTAGCATGAAGTCCCATATACATGGCGAAGGCGAAAAAAGATCGTTTGAAGAGAATTATGTGACACCTCCATATTCAGCATTCAATTCAATATGTTCTAACTTGATTCAAAAGAGGCAATTGTTTGAATCTCTATATTTTGAACTATTATGCATGTGCTTGAGAGTATTTTGTATGTGTGTGTAAATCTTTGTGTTCTAGAGCTAGTCCCGGAGATCATAAGTGTTGCGGGCTAGAATATACATAGTGATAAGTTAGAATTTTACGTCTCAGTGTTGTATGAATATTGAGCACAAAAAATAGAGAACACGAGATTTTTATGTGGAAAAAAACTAAAAGGGGAAAAACCACGATGCCCACACTCAGTTGCAATGGCTCCACAAGCTTTTGAGTAGATTACATGTGACTGAATCATCCTTCAATTCAGAATGATCAGATTAAAATATTCAACCGTCAGATTGAACTCTAGTTATGAATGGAGATTGGATGGAAGTCCAATGATGCTCAGTAATGGGGCAAATTAGTCTGGCGTTAGTTGGTGGCTGGGCAAAAGTCTGGCGTTAGTCGGTGGCTGGGCAAAAATCTGGCGTCAGTTGATTGTTGGGAAAATGTCCGGCGTCTGTCGGTGGCCGGACAAAAGTCCAACGTCAGTTGCTGACCAGGCAAAAATCTATCGTCAGTTGATGTCTTGGTAGAAGTTCAACGTCAATTGATGGCCAGTCGAAAGTCTGACAATAATCGGTGGTAAGGTGGAAGTCCAACGACAGTTAGTGGTTGGGTGGAAGTCTGGTAGTGATTGAGGAGTCTCATGGCAAGAGATCTCTGGTTTCTCTCTCTCTCTCTTCCTTGCTTGGGTCCCCCTCAATTAAAGGTGATAATATTTGACACAACCCAAAAATCTGACTCGAATATGACCTTTGGAGTATGGTTAACCTGGACCTGAAACGGGCCGAGCCCGGGATCAACAAATAGACCCGTTTCAAAAAACAAGTCAATTTCGAGTTGACCCAAAAACCCAAAATTGACTCGTTTGTGACCCAAAACCCATTTTGACCCGAAAATAGGAGATTGACCCATTTTTTACCCAAAAATTAGCAAATTTTTGACAGTCTAAGGTCATTTGGATCGTGTTGGGTTGACCCTGACCCGAATCGGGTCAGGTTCGGGTCCAATAAACTGACTTGATTACAAAACGGGTCAAATTCGAGTTGAACCGAATAGTGTCATCGGGTCAGTTTCAGGTTTGAGCCAAATCCCAACCTGTCACCTGAAATTGACACCCCTACCCTCAATGATGAATAAGTGGTCTATTTATAGTTTTTTTAGAGTGTCATGACTAATAACTAGGAGAGAGATCAATGGTAAGTTGAGAGTGTTTTGAATAGATGGCCGATATTGATTCCCTTGATTGTGGATTATTTACTAGGCATTTGAATGTCTTAATGATATCATAATTTGATGAGCTTAGGCTTGTTAGATTTGCCTTGTTTAGTTGCTCGATTTGATTATAGGCATGTTACATTTGGAAATTATTTAATCATCTAATGTATTGTTTGAACTTTCCAAATGCGCTTCGGGTCTTCGATTTAGACCCATTTGGGCTTGGATTTAGTCAAATTTATGTCGTTGGTTTTGCATTTTTGAGACGTTCAATTCGATTATAAATTTGATGAAATTGTAGTTCGGACGGTTCCATATTTAATTTTGGAAGTTTCCAACTTGATTTTGTGTTTAGATTCATGTCCGATCAAAATAAATTTTTGATGACATATCCAATAAGGGTCTATAATCTTTAGATTATATCTATGAAAGGTGAAAATATGTCACTTTCTGTTCTATAATATGAAGACGATAATTATAATTTATTTACATTCCCAACATTGTTAGTTGAATTATGGATAATTGCTATTATTATTCCTGCTCAACACATTGATTTATTATGTTGCATTTAAATTTGCTTATAAATATTTAATAAATGAATTATTTGAAAATTTATATTGATATTTGTGGCATCCAGGGGTGTCAATATATGACACGACCTGAAAATTTGCGCTGAACCCAACCAAAAAATTTCAAATTTGGGTCAACCCATTTAACAAATATATCAGGTTCAAGTTTAAAATTTTGAGCCAATTGAAATATCAGGTTGGGTTTTTGTTAACCTGCAATCATGAATGCAATTCATTTGATTCAACCATCGGTTGGCACTCACCCGTTTGAGCTTACCCGCGACCTCTCACTTGTACTCTCGCACTTGCTTGTGGCCTCTCTCTTGGTTGCTTGCGCCCGCACTCACTCTCACCGGCTCGCGCTTGCACTTGCACTCCCCCTCACGCTCTTTCCCTTGCCCGCTCAACGTGGTCACCTTCATCCTTGCCTGCTCGGCATACTCACACTCACCCTGTCGCCCGTGGCACTCAATCAAGTCGACGGGTCGGGTCGGATTATGTCAGGTCGGGTTCAGATCTAGGTTTTTAATCCATTTGGATAAGAGGTTGGGGTTTGGGTCAGACACATTAAGAGCGGGTCAATTTCGGGCAAACACACAAGACATAAAAAACTATTTTGACACATCTAGTGGCCCACTAAGTTGTGTTAGCTCATAGATGTTTTACTTTTTTTTTTAGCATGAGAATGAGAAAGAGCCAGTTTATTAACAATTTTTAAGATTATGGCCTAAGTCAGTATAAACATTTCTTCTTTTGATTCTTACACAATTATGAATAGTTTCATTGCTCTATTATATAATTCAGTTTGTAGTCATGCACTATAATGACAAATATTTCTTTATGATAAATGAAAGGAATTTTTTTTATGAGTTTATTTTCATTACATTCTATGTTTATTATTGTTTTAAAGTTTATATTGGGAAGGAAATTTCAAAACTAAATCTTCGAGTTCATCTGTTGGTAGTCAACACAATAGAATCTATCTAGTATGTGGGTCTTATTGAGTTAGATTGTGACAAATTTATAGTGTAAGCATTAGCATGCCCAAAAACAAGAAAATTATTGACATATATCAAGTGACGTGTATGAAAGTTTAGAGCAAGAATAGTTGCGTAGAGCTTATTCATAGCAACCTCTTTGATTAGACAAAAAATTAATGAAGATAGTGACAAAGGATATCCCTTATAAAACTATTAAAAGGTTTGAAATATCCATGTTATACAGACTTTCACTTAATCAGTATTGGCAAAAAAACCTCATAATAATGGTGATTACTGAACTTTTTATAGATTTGGAGAAAAAAATGTTAACAATAATGTCTTTTTTTTATAAAGGCAACCTAAGTGCATGGAGTGAATGATAATTGGTAAGATAGATTTTTATATAATCAATGATAAACATAACAAACACTTCATAGAATGTATTAAAAATAGAGATGAGCCAAACATTTGTGAGATGACTGTCATTTGATGTTTTAGGAATGATAGTGATATGATTATGTTTGGCCATTATGATAGTCATGAAAATGTGAAGAACAACACAAGTGAAAAACAGTCGTTAGGTTGGAGAAATTATTCTGTGAGGAGATTGGATGCAGAACGTCGTTTGGAGATCAATCATAAGGTGTCACATCAGCAATACCGAGCCGCGGTACCAATCAAAGGGTGACGTGACGCATTCTGGTTGGTCTCCGGACGGTGTTCGGCGTCCACACAAAATAATTAATTGTTAGAGGTTGTGTACTAAAAATAAGCTTCATCTGATAACAACATAAACTTTAAGAAGATGCGATCAATCAAGCACTTGCTGGATTGTGCAAGAATATCATCAAAGTCAATAATAAAAAAAGATAATGATACGTCATCAAAAATTGCTTTGTTCGAGCACGAATCTCAAGGCATATTCAAATTGGAAACTTTCAAAATCAAATTTGGGATCACCTGAATTCTAATTTCAGCAAACTTATAGTCAAATTGAACATCTCAAAGAGATGAACCAAACAGCACAAAAATTGGTCCAACCCAAGCCCAAATGGGTCGGAATCAGGGGCCCAGACCACATTTGGAAGGGTAAAAGCATTATTTGGGTGATGAAATAATATTCAAATATGGCATGCTTATAGTCAAATCGAGCGTCTCGACGAGAATAATCTAACGAGCCCAAGCTCTTTGAATTCCAACATTATTAAGACACTTAAACAGTTGAAAAACTCTGTACGACCAGAGGAATCAATACGAGCCATCCGATGGAGCACTCCGACCCTGCCCTAGATCTTCTCTAGATTTACGAGGTGTGCCACTCATGAAAATCTTTAAATAGACCCTCACTCTCTACATGAAGGGGGGCTTGGCTAGAGATTAGGGAGAGCTCTGAAGCTTCAAGAGCTCTAGCACCACCGCCTGGCCGCCGACCGCCTTCGTCGAACCACCGCCGGACTTTAGCCCGACCTTCGTCGGACCACCGCCTGGCCACCAACCGCCGCCGGACTTCAGCTCGCCGACTACAGTCGGACTTCAGCCCAACCTACGTTGGACCACCGCCCGGCAACCGACCATCGCCGGACCACCGCCCAGTCGCCGATCGCCGCCGGACTTCAGCCCGACCTTCGTCGGATCACCGCCTGGCAGTCGACCGCCGCCGGACTTCAACCCGGCCGCCGACTGCCGCTGGACTTCAGCTCGACCTTTGTCAGACCACCGCCCAGCCGCCACCGAACTTCTGCTCGACCTTCGTCGGACCACCTTCCGACCGCCAACCATTGCCGAACCACCGCCCGGCCGCCGAACGCAGTTGGACTTCAGCCCGGCCATCGCTGGACCACCGCCCGGCCGCCGTTCACCGTCAGACCTTCATCGGATCGTTCCTTGTCAGCCAAACTTCTGCACTAAACCCGTCGGATTTTCGTCCGACCATCATCGGTCCTTTGACTATCTCTTCAAATTACTGTAATCTGACCACCTCTAAATCGAGGGAAGGGCCAACCCTTATAATTCACTCAAGTTTAGTGGAATCTTTTCACCTGGGTGAGGCCCCGTGGTTTTTCCCTCTTCGGGTTTTCCACGTAAAAAAGATCGAGTGTCTTGATCTCTCTCTTTCTGCTTGCGTGCTGTATCTTCGTAAATGCTAAGACGCTAAACTTTATTTTTCTCTACCGTCGCGAATATTCCTGGACGCAACAGATAATATCACAGCTGGTGGTTCGAAACTGAGTCAAAATAAATTATAATTCCATGAATAAGAAGCTCAAATAGATGTGCCAACCAAACCGGCAGTGAAAACCATTTGATACCCAATAGCTTATAGCGATGAAGATGACAAAATAATGAGCCGACTACAAATTGAAGATCAATGGAAAAACAAAAGATTCATAACAAAGGCAATTATAGTGAGAATAAAGACAAGGAACTAGTTTAAAAATATCGAAGAACAATCACAATATGCAAAACCCACCCAACAAAATGTTGGCCTAAACCATCACAATGAAAAACTGCCTAGAACCCATTGTTGCTTGGCTTAGTTGGTGGGCGAGAACGGTTGGAACCTCGAACCTGTGCTTGATTCCAACAGCAAAGCCTCTTAAGTGGGGCCCAATCAAGTGCGGGTCATGCAGTTTCTGAGATAGGTGACTCTTCTAGGTTAGCTGAGGATTAGTCATGCTGCCGAGCATCTTTTTGGGGCATCTTAAGCTGTTCAAAAAAAAAAAAAAAATTAAAAAAAAAAAAAAAAAAAAAAAATTGAGTGTAAATCTACCAGATTTACAAGCCCACCAAAGTTGCCCAGCACCTCAAAAAACTGCACAACAAAATCAAAAGAATAAAGAGAACAGAGAAAGATTGCCGATTAGCCTGTACAACAACATGCCAATATGCCACATATCTCTGAAGAGTCAATTCACATTCTCCAACGAATTGAATATTGTAATTTATTTACTTTTATCCAAGATAGCTTTTTTATCCTGGCAAATGGCAAATGAGGTGGGGATTGATAGTGGTGGTAAAAAACTAAAAAGCTACCACTTCAATGAACTAACACGCGGCATACACCGGAGGGACTCTTAAAACTGATTGACGGCACAGATTCAACGAAAAAGTTAGTCTGAGTGTGGTACAAGCTATCCCGACAGTCTGTATAAGGCCATTCCATCAAGGTGGTAGGAAAACCCTCGTCGCATTTGCGGAATGGTTCCATCATATTCAATGCACGGATAGGTCCTCTATTGGAGTTTCCGTTCGATCCATATTGGAAAGTTTTTTCTTTTATTCCAATTTGTTCTTTCCTTCCGCCCAAAGTTCGGTTTTTGTTACGCTTGGGCTCTCCTTCTTCTCTTATACGCACTTTGTCATTTTACCTTTACCATTTGGTGTCGTTGGAAAGCGCAGAGATGGCTGAATGGGCGAGGGCTTGCTTTCAATCGACGTTGAAGATTGTGAATTCGGTGATCGGACTTGTAGGGATGGCCATGATTCTATACTCTCTCTGGATGGTTCGTGCTTGGTTCCGGGAAATGAGCGAGCTCTCCCCGGGCTTCTCTGGTTCGAACCCTCCATGGTCCGCCACTCTTCTTCCTTCCATTTACATTGCCCGTTCATCTTGATGAATAGTTTCTGGATGATCTGTTTTCATGTTAAAGATTTTCTTCTTTGTCTCAAAAAACGAACTTTCAAATCAGTTCTGCTTCTATTGTTATGATATATTTGGTATCTTTTAGGTAATATCAGCGCCAGTTTAGTCAGCTGTCAGTTATTTATTTGAAGTAGTATAGATTTATTCTTTATTTAGTGGGCCATGTTGGGGGATAGAATGTTAGATCACTTAATTTTTTGTCTGTTTTTAGCTGAAAGATTGCAAGATTGTATTTTTATCTATTCCGATAAATCCCTGTTGGTATTTTATTTTTTGTTAGATGGCGTAATTAGTTTTTCATTAAAACAAATTATATACGGCAGATGAATTTTGGAATGCTTCTGGCAAAAACATTTTATGTTTTTGACTTGAATGCGCAGTAAAGCTTTCCCATCAACGCAGGAAAATTGAATTAAAGAAGGATTATAATTGCTGAAATACTTAAAATCTTCTTCTGATCCATTTATGAAATGATTTTTTATTGGTTGCTGAATTGATTTAGTCTTCTGATCCATTCGACCCATTCTTTAAATTGAGATATTTTGTGCAAGCAGTGACATGATAAAAGTTACAGCAGTCAGTTTTTCAATAATTTTTTATCATGTCCTTAGGAGAAATTGGTTTTCATGATTTCATCTATGGCTGGAGTCCAACATTTTATCAAATTGCTTCCTCAGACACCCGATATTTTACCTGAGTAAAGGGAATAGTTTTTTTTTCCCACCAAGATGTCATTATGTTGTTTGATCTGGTGCTAGGTCTTTTTATTCATGAAAAATATATTTAGGGAGAGATTTTATCTCTTAGGGGCTGTTTGGTAGCACCTAGGATTTGTTTTAAGTAGGATTTCGTAAATCCTCTAAATCCGGATTTCGGAAATCCTAAAGGGGCCTAAATCCGGAAAACTGTTAGGTAACTTTCATGATAAATCCTTTTAAATCCCGTGTGACTGTTTGGCTATAGAACAGATTTAACAAGCGCACTCTTCCTATCGAGCCAATGGATTTCATAAATCCGACAAAAAAACAGGATTTCGGAAGACCAAGATTTAGCACAAAAAGGCGGAATTTTCCGTCTACGGCGGCTTTCATTTGCCGTGAGATCTGGTTTTGCATTTTAGGCCGTTTGGCTGGATTTCACTCACATCCGGCCTAAATCCTACTACTAAACAGCCCCTTAAAGTGAGTATTTTGTAAAGTCTCTTCATTTAACAACTTTGAATTAATATGTTTAGATTCGTCTATTTTAGAGTGTTTTTTATTGGTTAGAAGTACTCAAATGGCAATGTTACTTAACAACTCATCTAAGTTGGCTTGTTATTAATTTTGTCACTACTTTTAATTTAAGTCGAGAAGTTATACAGTCTCTTAATATGGAAGCAGCCATATGCTAGAAGTTTCATGTGGGTTTTCATATCTGAACTGCATTGGAATTTATATAAACTAATTAATGCTGATTTGCAGGTTCATTTTCACCTTTCTTGGACTAGGGATCTTCTTGTGTGTGATAACATGCTCGGGACACATTGCTGCTGAAACTATCAATGGCCATTGTCTTTCCTGTGTATCCTTTTCCATTGAAGCCAAACCAAATATTCTGCTTATTTTTGCTCTCTAGAATTTGGTTGTATTTTCATGAAGTTATGTTTACTTATCATGCATGAAAGGGCTGATTAATATTACATTTTAGGTATCTTTTTCAACTAAATGAAAGATGAAATAAAACATTGTCAATTGATCAACGTTCATAGTTGATTTCAATGTTGCCAAAAGGTGATAATACCCTCAAGACAATATGACAGCCCAATTAGACGTGCTAGGCACCATCGTAGAATTGGGCGTAGTGAGGAGGTAACATAGAATATCTATTTCACTTAATAAACCTATTTTAATTATGCGAAATATTTTTGAGAATATGAGGAGATAATCATTACAATTAAACTTTGTTATGAAAAAAACATAAAATTCAAATTTTATTCCATCCCAAATTTCAAATTTTTGCTAAATAGATTATGAACAAAAAAAGGATATTTCAATATCAAAATAGATAAAGTATGTTGGTATTTAGCATACATACTAGGGAGACATTTTTCACTCTTATTTATTACATTTTCATCGACATTTATGTTGTCTTCTCTATCCCTTAGTTTATAGGCCTTTATCTCCTCTTCAGATTCTCCAGACTCATCCTCTTTTCCCTTAAGCTTTATTACTCTAGATTTGAAGCTCCTTCACCTGCCCCACATCTAACTTGTTTCCTAGTGTCATTCATGTTTTCCACCTTCTTAAGCTTTTTTCTTGGTCACCCTTGCCAAACAATCAGTATCAAAATCTAACTCATATTTCACATTTTAATTAGTTCCATCCATCTCCCCAATCAAAGCAAGATGCTCATCTTATTGTATGAATCTTTAAGGCAATGTGGATTTTGAAAGCTCTTGCTTCATGCAAACCAAAAAGAGTACTTTTAGGAGGAATATTTAGTAACGTATAAAGTGCCACTTAATTTTTCTGAGTTGATGACTTCATATTTTTGTTTTGAGTCTTCTCATAGGTGTAAACTCTCCCATAGCGAACAAATCTTCTCTGTCTCTGTTAAGAAAGACAACTTTTGATTAAGGCAGGTCTTTTGACTTTACAAGCTTGCTATAATGGCTTCATGTATGATGCGACTTGTTGCCATGATTTGAAGGATGTCACTCACTGGCTAAAAAAATATATAGGGGGAAATGATGATAAGCTCAATAAAGATCCCATGATTTTATCATCTTAGCTTGTTGGTGTACCCTGATCAATTTAGTAAAAGAATGGTGATTTGTCATTCTTTTTCTTGAGGATCCTTGTTTTCTGTCATGAATTGGATTATCTAGGGGAACTCATAAATCACCATGGAAACCTTGTCAAAATGGCCAATTTTGTTATTGATCTCAACTAATAGACAGCTTTGTGCTATATTAGATGCGTTATACATATCTCTAACTCATAAAGATGGCCATTTAGGAGCATCTAGACATTCCATTTTATCTGATTATGTAGCTTTATAGCACATTTTAGGAATGACTTCCTGATACAAAAGGATTTTCAATGCCCTTATTGCCAAGGATTTTGTTGATATGACCATAATTGTTTTGCGGGCTTCAGTGATCTTTAAATGTGTTGCTTTTAGCAAGCTTGAGGTGTGGGGCAAATGATAGGCTGCTTTGAGCATGAGACGACCATTATTTGTTTGAGATTTTTTTTAGATGCAACATCATTTGGAATGAAATGATTGCTTCATTGCGACCCTATACTAACGCTTGAGGCTCATTCTTGAATTTTTGAGGAGCTTCAATGATGACAGTGAATATCTTCAGTGATTGTACCCATTATCGTGGATGAGGCGCCCTAGGAGATGTATCATTTGAGTTGGGCCTTGTATTTGTATTTAAAATGAGGGCATTTTGCTATTTGTTCTTTTAAGTGATGGTGAAGGTAGTTATTGTTATTCCTTCAGTTTTGATTAATCTTTGATTGCACCTATCATCTAGAAAAAAAACTTTGGAGGATTTGTCCCATAGTTTAGGAATATCATTTTTGCATTTGGAGGCCTTTTGTCATTTTGATCAAAGAAGGTGTGGGCAATATTGTTAATAAAATTGATAACCCCTCAGTTATATTATTAAATTACTGCATCTATCATTGGGGTGATGAGTCTTCAACATTTGATTATATTTTCTTTTTAAGGGTAGGTTGTGACACTAAGTATAATAATAATTTCTTTAGTTATAATGTTCGATAAATGGATCCTTCATAGAATGAGGAGCTCTTGAGCCTTATTTGAATTTGAAAGTGGGATTTTTTCTTCTTATTTAATTTGGAATAAATCCCTTGGATATAACGTTAAGAACCATACTATTCATGTGGGCAATGGACCATTGATTTTGTTTGATTTAGGTCGAGGCAATACAATTGGTGATGCCTTCAATCTCAATCTTCAAGAAGTATACCCATCGTCGAGGTGAGAAGGCCTTATGTTGTTTCAACAAATATTCCTTTTTTATTTTTAGTAGGTCTTTTGATGATCTTATTAGGATACTAGATGTATTAGATCCAACCTATAGTAAGAAAGGTAGAGATAGACCTAAAAAGGCTTGATTATTAAGTATTAAAAATGATTTTATTTATTATATTTAAATGAGAATCGACTCTCAATAGGATATAATGAAGAAAAATGATTCATGTAGCTGACCCACATAGTAGGATAAAGGCTTGTTGTTATTGTCGTCGTCGTTGTTGTTGTGGTGGTGGTGTAGTTTTTTGTTATTCATTGATGTTTGAAGGGATTGACGTTGCCTGGCGTTGAAGTTGGAGCAAAATTTATATTCAATAAGTTTGCGGATGTTAGCTCAAATTTATTATCTTGGTATGAAGGCAAAGGTCTTAGAGTTGAAATTTATCACTATTAATAATCTTGAGGCATCTAGCTTTGTGGCATGCTAGTTGATGTTGCAGACCCCTGTAATGGTTCAACCATGATACCAATGTGTCTTGCAGACGTTCTTTCTTCATAAACGTTGGTGGTCTTCATTTCCTAGCCAAATGCAAAATTCTATTCTATTATTCAGGATAATGGTCGAGCTATAGGCTATGTCAACTCTGTCTCTATTAAAAAGAGGATCAGGGATGGGTGGATCCTACAATTTTCTAGTATTCATATCCAGCTATTTTATTTTTTTTCTGGATCTTTTGGTACTTACATGACGGAAAACGGGGACCACACTCCTCAAAAGAAATGAATAAAGCGAGAGGCACTTCTGATATTTTATGATTTTTTTGAAAGATTTGCAATTTTCTTTCTTTTTTTTTTCTATGTTTTCCTGCATTTTTTTGGATTTTTGAAATATTCTTTTGATATTTTTTATATTTTGTTAAATCGTAGATATATTTTTTATATTATTGTGTACTTTTATACATTTTGGAAGACTAGGTTATCTCATTTCAGACTTCTTAGTTTGATTTGGATGTGCATGGGATGTGTCAGATTATGAAATATTAGCTTAATATGACCCCAATGAGTGTTACAAATTCAGCCTCTGTTTGACATTTTTTTGGGTGGGCTCGAACATGGGTGACCATGCTTGTCAATATGTTTGTTGGTATGCCTCAAAGTAAGGCTTCGTTTGGGATGGCTTTTTTATTGCTTCTTAAAGCAATTTTTTAGTACAAAAAATAAAATTTTTGTATTAAAAAGCTGCTTTAAGAAGCAGCAAGAAAGTCGTCTCAAACGAAGCATAAATGATACTTTCAAAAGTTATATTTTGAAGCATGAACTTCTAATGACATGGAAGGGGCCTTTTGGGCTTCAAATGACTTGTATGTCTACAAACATGCTCATGGGTGTCAGCATTGATATCTTTTTGGGACTAAAAATCTTGTCAACCATTAAGAACCTTGGCTAGCTCTATTGTTGTATTGTGGAATTTAAATAGAGTTTAGTGATAGGAAATACTTGAGTTCGCAAGCAAACGTAACAATAATTAGTGAAAACAACAAGAAAACTTCAAGATCTCCAATGAAACAATCCAAAAACAGTAGATTGTATTATAGGAATCAAATCAAAAGCAAGAACAAGCAACAATTGATCCTCAATTCTAGAGGAGGATCATTCTCTCCCAATCTCTAGACGACGAATCTAGAGCCGAAAACCACAAAGAGACTCCAAGAGAAAATAATAATCGTGCATGCCTTAATTCTCCTAATCTCTTCTTTATTTAAAGCAAATCCCTCTTCTTTAACCGTAGCCGCCCCTCTCTTAATTGCCCATTACTCCCACGAGCCCCACCTTCCATGGGCGGCAGCCCTAAGAGCGGCTAATTCAAAGGAGGCGGACCCCCTTGGTCCGCCCTCCATATATTTGAACCGGCCCCTTATCTAGGGCTGGTTGGACCGGCCTAACATTTAGCTCTGGCCTAAGCAATACTGGCAATACCTTAGTAATAATGCTCTTGTGGGATGCCTATGAAGCTCTATCATGTTACCACGTCTTGTCTAGGCACTCAAGCAAGCGCCCAGATAGCCTTTAACAACACTTGAGTCATTCTTTTGAAGCTAGGGAAAATTCCGGAGACCATTGTGATATTGCCAAACCCTTCATTGCATTGTTGACTTTTGAAAAGTATGCAAAATGCTTGCATTGACTCTGAAAATGCGGTTTTTTAATGGAGCTTTGTTTTCAAGGATGTCTGCCTGAGTTTTGATATCTGTAAGGCCAGGTTTTATTTTTTTTTTCTTCTTTCCAGTCAATGCCTAGCCAAACAAGTTGGCCTCAGGCATTTTGATCAAAGCATGTGGTTTTAAAAGGGGAAGGAGAACTGTCCTTGTTGCGAGGGATTATGAATTTTATTCATTGGGAGGTAGATCATTCTTCCATTCTACAACCACCTCTGACCTCTGTAAGAAAAAAAAAAAATATAAGAGGACAGACATCTTTCTTCCGTGCATTCTTCCAATATGCCCCCAGCCTTCTATCATTTCTATGAATTAATAATTGCATGTGCACTAAAACTTGAATGCAATTTAGGCTTCGTTTGGGGCGACTTTCTTAATGCTTTCTAATAAAAAATATCTAGTTCAAGAAATTTTTATACTAGAAAG